CAAAGTATGGTTTTTACCTAGATTAGCTCTTTAAATCCTCAGAACCACCCTAACCAGCAGATGCCTCTAATATGTCCATTGAACAAATAAAGAAAAGGAAGTCCAGGGTAGTTACATGGCTTAGCTACTACCTCACAAGGAGTGAGGCAGAGAAGCATTCAAACATTGCAAGCCTGACCACATCTGAGTCAGCCAGGTACAGACTGATGAGATCCTGCAGTAAGGATATGGCCTTCCTTCTGTCTGATGGGAAAGTAGATCTCACATCAAGCATATTTCATTGCACACTACATATGAGCCAGATAATACTAACATGATTTGTATATTTTCAGTTCACTTTTGACATTAATCTCTGAAATATATTTTTATCCCCATCTTATACATGAAGAAATAAACTTGGATCATTAAAACAATCATTAAATCAAGGTCACAGCGTTGGAAAATTTGTTGCTAAATGAGATCCTAAACTAAAAACTTCTTTCTTTTATTCAAAACATATTCATTTTATTTGTTTGCTACACTGTGTATTCATCCCTGTTAGATAACAGTGATGGATATTAAATATTTTTCTTCAAACCTGTCTATGTTTTCTTCAAAGATGTTTATGTTTTCATATCACATAATACTAAAAGAAACTAAGGAATTATTCTCCATGTAATTAATTTACCCCAGAGTTGTCAGTAAGCAAAACAAGTAAAAATAATAATTCAACATCTCTTTTTCAAAAATATTAAATTAGTGCAGAAATGCAAAAAAACAAACAAACAAACAAACAAACAAAACTGCATAGTAAGGAGCTTAACTCCAGTACCCCCAGGGCTCCAATACTCCAATGCCAGTCCAGGAATTGTAGAATGGCTGTGCCCACTCCCGTAGGGGGAATGTAAGTGTAGATTACTTGCCCAAGATAGATGTTTTTAAAATCTTATAATATTTTACAATATATGCTTACATGTAAATTTTTTACATAATTAATGCAATAAGAAGGCAGTTGGATTTTACTTTCTGGTTGTATCAGATTTTCTAGACTTTAAAGCAGACAGGGGGAATGCTTGTTCTACATCCACCTGTTATTTATTGGTCCCTATATTTAACATACCTTGGAGAATGATGAGGACATGAAGAATTGTGGGGGGAGACATCTTCCAAGAATATAGCATTGATAGTATCCTGATACCTAAGAAAAAGAGGAAAAATGACCGATGAAGTTATTGATAGCTGTTTGCAAGCAGCAACCTGGCTGAAGGTGAGCTAATACTTAATGCTTTATTTTTAAATATTTTTGGGATCCACAGCTCTTCTTATTGTTCATAGCTTATATTTTTAAATGTTTTCTAAGAGCAGTAGACTGTCTTTTATATGAGCTAGCTCACCAGAATTGGACAGGACAGTATCATACTATCTATCCAAAGTAGAGTAAATATCATGCCCCAATTCATGCAGCAAAGAAACAAAAAGCCAGGCATTAAATCTAGACATTCTAATTCCAGAACCTGTTATGATCAACCCAATATTTCCCATGTTTAAAGCCAATAGAGTGCCCTAATCTTGTACAAGGCCCTATTCATTATATTAGTGAGGTTTGTAATTGTCTGGGACTTTTGCACTTTTTTTTTCATTTTCAAAACATGCATATTTCCAACTGACAGGAAAGAAGTGAATAATAAAAATAGATAACAGAGAAAGAATTTATCTTAGGCATTTTTAAGATAAATTTTTAGAATTTATCTTAGTAATAAATTATATCATTTTAACAATGTTTTAGTTACAACTCAGGGGCATTAAATGTATTTATATTGTTGTATAATCATCACCAACATCAATGTCTATAATGCTTGTCAATAATTTGACTTCAAAATATATATTCATTCAGCAATATCTGTTGAAATCTAGCTAAGTTTGTGCCCTGAGTCAGGTGCTGTCCTGGGAAAGACTTCTCCACTTCCTATTTGCAAATTGTCCCCACATAGTTGACCAACACAGCCTAATGAGCCTTGTTCTTTGTGGGGTTGGCAATACAAATCCTCAGTAGTTTAGAGACAAAGAGTTTTGGGGTGGAGGATCTGATACCATCAGAGAACACGCCTGGCCCCTCAAGCATTATCCTTCACAGCAGAGTGAAGAGCCTGAGCGCTAAATGTGTATTTGCATGTCCTTTGTGCCATTTGTGGTAGAACTTAGATATGCTTCTTAGTCCCTCTGAGCTGCCTATGTCTCTGTAAAACAGGACTAAGTTTTATTTGATTGTTTTGAGAAGGTCAGGGGTAATGCATGTGTGGTAAAAGAATTTAAAATGTTGACAAGAAAAAAATGTGTATAATACTTAGGCCATTTTTATGAAGGAAAGTCGATCTTGAACCTGAAGCCTCGAGCTAGCCTTTGCTGGCCTTTAGCATATCTTAGTGTTGTACAGTGTCAAGAATGCGTATGTGTGTGTACACACAGGTGCATGTGTGTTCACATGTGCTCTGTGTGTGCATACATGCTTATGCTCATGTATTAGGAAGGAGGGGAAGATAGAACCCAATGTTCTGTGTTAGAAATAGAGGAGAAAATGAGGCCTCAGGGAGGCAGCAGGACTAGGAGAGCTCAGCCTGAGGAGAGGCAGAGGCCTAGAGGGAAAAGTAGAGTTGGTGAGTAGAGATTTGAACCTTGAAATGTTGTTTACTTTGTGATCTAAAACCCCATTTTGGTTGTTTCTCTGAAGCTTATACTGTTCAGCAATATTTGAATTCTCTCTTTTTTGACGATATAAACATAGGATAAGACACAGGAAGAGATGAACACTAAGTCCTATGTTATTGGCTCCAGAAAAAATGAGTTGGCTCACAAGAAAGCCTTAAATAAAGGAACTTATTTGCCATAAAACTCACATGCTATCCTCCTGTGTGTATGCTTGTATGTGTGGCAAAAAAAATGTTTTAAAATTCCACACATAGGTATTCTAGGCACAGCTCTTGGGGCTTACAGGCATTCCTCCTGCCAGTCTTTCTGAGAACAGACTTCAGACAACAAAGCATAAAGACAAGAAAACTTGAGGGAACAAAAGCTCATATAAAGTTGGAGGAAAAGAAAGACAGACTGATGACCCAGCATTAGCAAGACCCTCTCTGGGAGGGAATGCTGGCTCCTGCAAAATAAGCCAGAATCATTCTTCTAAGAGGATGACTAGGGAAAATACCTTCTCTGAAATCATTAGAGATATCTCTCCTTCCAACACCAAAGGGGTGTGGAGAAAATCTTCAGATGCTCGGGGCTGCCATCTCGGCAGCAGAGTATGGCAGGCTAGTATGGCACCGTGGGATAAGTGTGCCTGGAAACCCTGCCAGTATGCAACCACGACCCTAGCACCCAAGGATGAAAGCTTGTTCTGCAACCTCTTCCCAGGCATCTATCTTTACCTGTAAGACAAGTCCTCATAGTGAGGCCAGCAAGCTGCTCTAGAGACTGCATTTCCATCACGTGTGCTGGATGGGATCTCAATCAGTGGGATGTGATTCTCCTGCCAAATCCCTTAGAAGGAATTTTCAACCCTGAAGTTTCACATATAAAGGAAATTGTGTAATTCTTTCATGGAACACTAGGTTCAGTTTCAGAACCAGAGTTCTTCTTTGTTTCATTCGATTCAAACTGCCAAAAATACCAAAGTAATGATACTACCTTTTGTTAACATGTTTAGCATTTTGTATCTCTTATAATGAATGTAGGAATCAGGGAGAAGAGTGAGGATAGAAGGGAAAAGGGGAGAAACCCAGTTAAATGTCTATTAGATTTTAGCAAGTGAGCTAAAGAAACCTCAGGAAGTTTTAGAAGCACCATCCAACTAGGTGTATCGTGGATAGTGATTTTGTAATATGCTCCTATAAACCTTCCCCTATTGTGAAATCAACTTTCTGTGCATTTTATCTGCTATTACCTTTACACTGAGGTAACAAGTTAGTTCAATATATAACTAAAAGTTTATATTACAAGAAAACCCCACAAATTAAACTTCATTTTATATTTACAAGTAGCGCTCAGCAACTCACATGGCATAAGTTTACTTTCATTTTATACACAGTTCTCTTTTGCTACTCATATGAGTCCACATAAGAAATAAATAAATCTTCATTCCAGGACACTAGGGGAAGTTATTTTTTCTTGACCATCTACTACACATCAGACATTACTTCATATAAATCTCACAACCCTGGGTGTTATCTTCTTCCTACACCTAGAATCAGAGGGGGTGAGAAAAGCTAAGATTCAAAACAAATCAAACTCCAAAGCTTATGATATTTATACTATATAAAACTCAGCATAGTCCTTTAGGAAAATAGGGGTGAATGCAAATGAGTTTAAAATTTTTCTATCTCAAATGACTAAGATATTTTGTACCCCAAAGTGTAAAACATGAATTATTTATTAAATTTAACTTTCCAGAATAACTCATCAGCCAAACATTCCATGGTCCAGGCACAATGTTAAATCCAGATCAGCCATAGTCGTGCAGATTTTTAGTTCATTTATTCACTTTTTCCTAACTATAATAAGTATAATTTACCTTTTGAAGTCTCAAATTACTCTTATTTCTGGGTAAAACTTGAACTCTCTTTTTCAGTAAAATGGACTTGTATTCATTTCCAGGGAGCTTATACTGATTCATTATGAGCTCCCTTCTCTACTTTGCTGCTTTTGCTATAATCAGTGCTCTCCTTCACAGGATTAATCCTCATAGGGCTCTCATGAAGATCGCATGTGTGCCTATTCATACTTAAAAGTGTTTGGCAAATAGTAAATGACATTTAGCATTTTTCCTTTTATGGAAATCCCTACAAAATAAATTGAATATAGTAGTTTATTAGTAATAATGAATTATATGAATTCTAGAAGTAGACATTTGTTCCTTGATTATTAACCACTGCCCAAAATAAAACAAGCAAAAATAGAATTCTGAATTTTATTAGTGAATATATCTAAAATACAATGTTTATTAAGTTATGATATATTTTTTGAATGGAAATATACTCTGTATCACAACTATAATTATAACAATTTTTATAGATAATACTTCACTTTAATCTCTGTAATTCAAAAATCACTGTTACAACATGATTCATATTTAAGATAACATTACTACAAATATATAATAATTTAAGTGTTTTTCTTTAATATCACATCTTGAATCATGAACGTTTATCTTATCTGATTTACATTATACAGAATCATGACTACTTTTACCTGATTTACATTATACAGTTCAGTTTATCTCATAATATGGACTTGTACTCAATTAATCTATTCCCCTATGTTTTAAAAAATAGCATTTTAGTGAACAATTGTAATGCTTATCACCCCACGTGCTGTGAACAAAATCAAGGTACTTTTTCCTATTCTTTGGATTATAGTCTCTGTTACAGAAAAGCTACTATCATGAGCAAAGCACCAGTCACAGCAATTCTGTCAAGCATAACAATTGGTCAAGCTGTTCACATTTATTAGTAGTCACATCAGGTGAGAGAGGAAGGGCCTAAAAAACCAGACACAAGGCAGCCAGGGTTCAAAATTCACCATGGTAGTAGATCTGTGCTTAGCTAAACCAGAAGATATTTTTGACACGGACTCTGGGACCATCTTATTTGAAGGAAGCTTTGATTTGCCTGCTGTGCAATGGCTGAGCCGGGCGCCAGTTGTCTATCATAAGTTTTTCGGGTTCACCCTCCTTATTGAAGTTAAGCTTACGGAATTTCATCATCTAAAAGACAAAATAAAAGATTAAAAAAATAAAAGTTCATAATAGTATTCACTTATGGGGCTCATATCTTTGAGTATATTCCCTAATATTCATAGTAATGGTCAGAATTCAATTGATTTCCAATAGCTATATAACCACATATAAATTTGATATTTCTTTTATATAAGAATTCATTTATATAAAATACAAAATTATTGTTATTATTTGGAAGGAAATTCCCATGAGCTTGTTCTTTTCCCCTTTTACTTCATAATTGAGTATCGAATCAACAAAATACTTCTGAAATGTAAAATGATCATTGTAGATTCAAATTACTTTCTTTGTTTGTTTTCTATCTCCAGAGAGGATTAACTACAACATCTGTACAATTAGATATTCTGGATGAGGATGTGCAAGCTAAGTGAGGAACTGTCATTTCTGCTTAAATATATGGAAATACTGAAATGAATTTGCCCAAATTGGAATTACAGATACTTGTCACTGACTATTTGTTATTACCTTTCAAATTTGTTTCCAGTTCCCTAGCCAGTACATGACACAGGCAGCCCTCAACTAATCTCCCATTTTTTAAAAGTTGTTGTTGCAAAAGGGTACTTCCCTTCCACTAAAGAAAGGGAAGAAAAAAAGGAAGACAGTTTGGGCAATAGAGAGCAGACCATCAACTACACTTCTGATTACTTATGTCCAGAAATATTCCCTCAGTTATACCCTCTCACCTCCAAAGTCAACTTCAAAGTAAGTCAACTATTTTAACATGAACAATTATTTTTACTACAAGGCAAGGAAAGTTGCTAACAGATTCTAGGCATTGCATCATTACCACAGAACTTCAGTAAACTGAAAGTTAGAATCTGTTTATAAAGTGCAATAAGATCAAACTTTTCGACCAAACCAATATGGCCAATGTCTACTCCTTACTCCATCAACTATTCCATCTCACATTGGTCAACTTGACTCATTATTTTAGCGTCACAGAGACCAGGAATGAATATAGAAAAATGGTAGTAGAATGTAGCAGATCTATTTACATGACTTACTTAACATTCATCCTCTCATACTTTCTCATAAACAGAAATTCATCTCCCCCTTAAGCCTTGGAAGAGGTAAATAAGTGGGTCTTATGGACCGTGATGATTTATGGTGATTGCGTTCTCCCTCTGAGTACTGGATAAGAAGTGAGTAAGAAGTGGGTAAGAACTCTTGCTGAGCACTGGGTAAGAAGTGGGTAAGAACACAATTCTAATCAGTAAAATGTAGGTCTACAAGGAGATTTCAAGGAAAGGCTTCCTTACTCTTAAGTAATCAGTGGAAAAGGAAGTTGTTCTTCTCTTCCTTGAGATGTGGTTGTATCTGAATATGATTCTCAAACTATTTTTGCTACCACCTTGAGGATGAAGATGGGTGAGGCAGAACTAGGAAAATCACTAAGAGGAGGAGCCAGAGTCTGGATCAGCCAAACATGGCCTTACCTCAGACTCCCTGTTCTAGGATGTGAAAACTAACACTATTGGTATTTTGTTGAGAACTATTAATAGAATGAATAATTCTATTTTAACATTACTTTTTACCTTAAAGTGTAAGGGACTATGAAGTAAAATCAATTGTCCTCATCTGTAGAAGTGTGAGAGGTATGTGTGTGTACACAATAAATCCACTTAATAATAGCTCTTAATGTCAGAATATGGATCTCAAGTTAGATTATTCTCAGTAAAAGAAGAAAAAGAATATTCATTGTTTAAATTGTAATTCAAAAACTGCATTTACAAATAAGAAATGGCATAATTTTTCCTTATGCTATTATTTAGAGAAATTTTCTCAATATGTTATGACTACAAGGCCAATTTTTAAGTCATATGTCAGCCAAGCATACTATTTTTCTTTGGTGCACTTTGATATACTAGAAGAAATTCCCAGTGTCAGATATAGATTCCCTTTTTTTTTAAAGGTGTGAAATATCACCTACTCATAAATTAGCATTCTAAAGAAGAACACAGAAATAAAATCCTTGCTCCCAGAGCTGGCTCTGTCATGAGGTAGCTGGGTGAAAAGCACTTCAATTTTCCTGCATTTCTGACTTTTTTTCTGTAAAATGAGACGGTTGGACAAAGTGATCTCTACTGTGTATTGCAGTTTTTGACATCTATGAGTTCAACTTCAATAGTAAAATATATTAATAAATATTAAATTTAAAATAATATTAAATTTTAAATAATATTAAAATATTAAGTGTGTTACAGGTTTAAGTGACAGTACAGCTATTTAAATAGTTACGACTTTCAAGACTATTGGCTGTTGATTCTCAAATTATCCAGGATACAAGTTCTTGTATACTTGAACATCACAAACTACATTATAGGGGAAAGAGTCTTTGATCTGATCTGATAAGCAACTTTGAGTGAGTTGTATCTGAGATACAGTATCAGTATCAGTAATAATGACATTTTGTCAGAGTTCAGAAATGCATTCTGATACTAATAAAACTAATGATTATTAGTATTTTGATACTAATAAGGCCAGAGTAGCCTCTGTGTGCGTGAACAGAGGCTGGGAATTATTACTGATACTGATGTAACCTTGCATATAAGATCTCAGTTTCTTCTTAGATTACAAAAAACATTCGTTAAGTGACAGGCAAGTTTCTTATTTAATCTTCGTGATTACTAAGTGTTACAGAGTAAAAAAAAAAAAACTGGCTGTAGATAACAGCAACAAATATTCATTCAATACTGTTTATTTGCTGAGCAGTGTTGTAGACATTAGTTCTACAAGCAGAAACAGCAGAAGAATTTAATCCCAGGTCTACCTGACTCCAAAGGTCAAGTTCTTCTGTTGGTCCTAAAGTTCTGTCTGCCTAAACAGACTTCTTGCTAGAAACTGACCTGCTCGCTGCTAACGCTGATGGGTTCCCTGAGCACAATCCAGGTCACACACTCCAGAAGAGGGGGGGTAGTCAGTGAGCCTGGGTAGGTCCAGTAGTCCAGACTTTCTGGAAGAAGGCCACGAGGATCGAAGTTAGAGAAGTCAGCACTTTTACCCTGGAACAAGGCAAAACCATGGGTTAAAAAGTCACATAAATGCACTGGACTATGGTGATGGCACATGGGTGATTTGGTGATGGGAAGCCACGGGGGTTACAACTGAGATGAAATAATGCACAAAACAATGTAAAAGTAAACTATTATATTAAAAAAACATTTTTAAAGTCACACAATCAGCTTAGAAGGAAAGCAAGAGTGCAGGGAGCATAATTAGCAAATTGGTAAAATTAGTAAATTGGCATAGTTGGTAAACAAAAAAAACCTTTCTTTTAAAGAAAAGTTCAATGTTCATCTGAAAATAAAATAGAAATTAACAAAAAACTTTTAATTTTGGAAGAAGGGCAGATATGAGCAGGGGAACATGGTTATTATTTCCACATTGTCGTTTCTCTTCTTGTCCTCTGAGATGGTTCCTGTAGTCCCCATGAAGGCACCAACTGACCGTACCCAGGAGTAAAGTGAAACTGCTGACACTGAAATCATGTATTTTAGTTTACAGTAACTACACTATGCTTGACAAGGTAATAGTCAAACTATCTTGTTTGATGAGTAAATCCAAACAACTGCATTCTAGATGCTATTCTTTGAAGCCATTAAATGCAAACCAGAATGAGTTACAGGAAGAGTGACAATTATTGCAAAGAGAAAACTGCCTTATGAGAACAGCGGAAGGGAACTAAAGATGACTAGTCTGGGCAGGGTGAAAGGCAGCTAGGAAGAGACTGGGTCAAGGTTTACACAGATCAGTTTTAATCTTTTATCTGACTCAAAATCAAGTTAGGAAAATGGTGAATATTTCAGAAGATAATGCCACTTCAATGTGACTGTGAGCTTTACAAAGCCAGGCTGCCACTGGTGATTTTCATTTTTAAGCAGATGCTCAATGACCTCAATGCCACTATAATCTATAGAGGATTTAAATGCTTTTCTTGGATGAATTCAAAGAGATCACAGAATATAAATGTCCATGGAGCAGAACCTTGTAGGTCACATTCACCACTGTATTTCTTAGGTTGACTAGCTCAGAGTAAGTACTCAACAAATATCTGTTATATGAATGAGTGAAAAATTTGACCAAATGATTTTTCCTTGAACTCAAGGGATTTCCTATTATTATGGATGTTCAAGTGATTAGAAGCAGAATTTAATATATACAAGTTGTAAAAATAACTAACACTAGGATCAGCTTTGGGATAAGGAAAAACACATACAAATAATAAAAATTTTAAAAGTAAAATAAAGACAGTGCAAAGGCCTATTGACTGATGATTAAATAAGGAAGTTATGGTAGATATCTATGTGCACAATGGAATAACACTCAGCTATTTAAAAAAAGGAAACCCTGCCTTTTGCAATAACCTGAGTGGATCTTAAGGTGACTATATTCAGTGAAATATTACTGATTCATGTACATGTAGAAAAGCAATTAACAAAACAAACTAACAAAGCACCACAAAATTTACTTAGACTATGATAACCATGGTGATTACCATGAGGGTAAAGGGGAAAAGCAGGTAGAGCGGGCAAACTGGTAGTTTGATGGTGGGTTTTGGTGGTGGGTTTTGGTTCACTGACATATATACACATGTCAAGGTGTGAAACTGTGCTCCCAAAACATGCATTATTTTTTAAACCAATGGTAATTCAACACATTTTATTTCTTAATTTTAAGACATTTTTAAAGAAAAGTTAAATAGACAAGCAACATTTACCTTTAACTTATCACTCAAGTGGTGATTATTCAATTTGATCCAAAGAGTTATTTAAAACCAAAAGGATATGGAAAATAGATGCCCCATTGTGACAGAAAATTCCACTTTACCTTGGTTTTAATGGAATCCATTGCATCAATGATTTTCTGCAGACCTGGCTTAGCACTGCCAATCTATAGAAAAACAAAGAACACTGTAACACAAATACTACTCTACATTTTGATTTGGACAAGTCTATCTATAAAATTTTTGCAAATAACAGATCTACCACTTGCTACATGCCACCGATCAGTCTTTGTTCCCTATTTTTTATTGTATTGACACTTCAGACTTCCTTACTTTAGGGACAGCCACCCTCTGTATTACCCCTGTGGTTTCCCTGCAACTCTCCTCTCAAATGTCACCAGTGACCTACAACTGCCAAAGCAAAGTTAACTTAATCTTCTTGCTGGATTTACACTACTGTCTTCCTTTTTAAAATGATCTCCTCTGAGTTACTTCTGCCTAAAGCCTCCTAAATCTCCCTTTTTTCTTGCATTCCTTTTTAGGCATTTGATTAGCACCTACTGCCTCAAATACCTTCCACCTTGTAGCTTTACAAGACTGCCAGCTCAGCATCTCCTCTTCAAGTCTCCCCTAGATGATTTCATCCATACGTTAGTGTCCACATTAACATATAATGCTGTGTATCTCCAACCCAGGTCTTTCTCTGTTTACAATTGTCTATAGGGAAGTTCAACCTGTATGTCCCAATATCAAGTCATTATCCTTCATCCATCCAAAACTTAATCTTAAATCAGCATTGTCTAACATGAAAGAATGCTAGCTAAATTATGGTTAAATTTAAAAATACCTAATGGTGGGCCCTTCCTGGTGGCACCAGAGGTTAAAATGCAGCACTACAAAGCTATCCACAGCCACAGCATGAGTTGGATCCCCAGCCGGGGAGGTGACCCCCATGGTGCAGGAGACCTCTCTTGACCTGCCCACTGCTCCCCACAGCAGTGCCCCTTGTTGATCTGCCTGTTCTGTTTCCCACTCTGTCTCTGGTGAATTCTCTCAACCACTGAACCTCTGGCTTGTACTCCAGTTCTTGTATGCATAAATAAACATTAAAAAAAATACCTAATGAAAGAAGTAGACTTCTTTCTCATTTTCACATTTCAAACATGTACATAACTCTTAAAATTTATACCCATATGTCACTTAATACCTCTAAAACTGTCATTTATTGTCCTCTATCTTACCATTCATCATAGCAGGAATGAAGGAGAAAATATTCCTGAATATACTTCCAAAACAAAGGCATTTTCTAGGCTGTTTTGTAGAACGTCTTGTTTGTTATGAACATTTTTTCTGTTTAATTTTCTTTGAAAAGAGGGGGAAGAAGGAATTGAGCCATCAACTAACCATCAAAAAAATGCCCAAAACAGCCAGTCCATCTGGTTGGTGCACTGCTTTTCCAAATTCCCCATATTTGGTGTTCCAATGAACCAAATGAAGCTAAAGCATGAGGAAAGAAAACCATGTAAGTTAAGTGATTTACAAAACAAAAGTCCACGGATTTTTTTTTTTTTGTACTACTCTTCTTATAGTTAGAGGTTATTGAAAAAAGTAAAAATGTAGGTGATTTTAAATATAAAGTTTTCTCTTTTTTTATCCTTGTTATCAACTATTTGAATTAATCGCAAATGCAACTTTACAACCAAGAGTTACGTATTTTGAAGGCAAATACATTTCTAGACTTACAGATGATATAACTCACAGATTTATTTATATTAAAATAGGATCCTCCAATTCAAAGTTAAAATGTTAACTTTTTGTAAATGTTGTCTTCCAAGATAGTGGATAAGGTTTTGCATCGTTAGCTGAAATACCATGGTAAAAGTCATAAAAAGCACATATGAAGGTTCTTTGTAAAAGAAATGACTTATTCGGTTCAAGTTGAATTTACAAAATTAGGTTTGAAATTAAGGCTAAATATCAATTAATTATTTCTCCCTAAAAGACAAAAGCACAGCTTACCTCTGCAGGATATTTCTTTTTATCTACAGTATGTTCAGAACCAGCCAAATCAGAGGAACCCCAGTGGAAGTGAAACTGGATCAACCTGTAAGTGCCAGTGAGGGGTCCTCCTTTCAGCACTAGAATTAAAAAAATTAAATATATTATCAGTCACACACACACATATGTATGTGTGTATGTATAAACACACATATACGTGCTTACAGATAGGCACCCGAAACACATGCCCTAAATATTACAATCTCTATTCCTATTTCATAGCACTAAAATCATGTCAATAGCAACAGTTTCACTCTGAAAATTAAATCCAGACTCAGGGTGGTCTACGGTGCTGAACAAAATCATCCCCGCTGATTTCTTTCCTAATTGCAGTTGCTGGAGGAGGGGTGCATTTCCTCTCTGCTGTCTGAGCACAGTGACACTTGTCTTCTGGTCTGTTGGCAGCCACATGTTCAGGTTCAGAGCAAGGAAATTTCACAAGGACCTGTTCATTCCTCTGTGAATCATTTAGGAGGTGCCCAAGCAGCTGCTTGCCAGTGCTGGTCTGCTGCACACTAGCAAGTGTGGGAACCTCTCTACCGTGGCCCAGTGAATACCTCTGCTGACCTCTGATACTGGCTCTCACTCACCAGGATCTGAGAAATAACAGCATTGCTGTGATCTTAGAAGTTTAAAATCCAGCTTTCCTTTCAGATTCTGTATTGTTTGGATTCTGTATTGTTTGGATTCTCACTGCTACTAACTAGATTTTAGTTAATGTCTCTGACCTTTATTTCCTCATCTGTAAAATGGAACCATTCAATTATGTATTACTTCACTAAGAATTTATTGATCATTTACTATATACAGTGCATAGTGCACTATTATCTCAAAGAACTTAAAGTTTTAAATTTTAAAACTATCCCATGATTCTGTCCTTCAGATATTAATGTAATCTTGTTACAGCAAAATCAATACCAGAAATTATAGTTTTAGACCAAAATCTAGTTCTATGCAACAAGTGTGTCTTATGAGAGGATTAAAATAGCAAGAAACCACTGTTTCCCCATTACCTTCCATAAGATATTTAACCTAACAGGTATCAATGGAATTTAATCAATACTTTAACTTTTATTATTTTAATTGTAGTAAAATACACAGATATAACATTAACATTTTAAGTGTTAATATTAAGTAGTCATGTTGAACTTTCAAAATTAGTTTAATAACTTCAATTTTATTTCTCCAGGGATGGCATTAAAAATCTGTCCTATAAGCATATCTTAATAGTTATGATTTATAATTCTATAAACTAGTAAACCTAAATATACTTTGGTTCTGAAAAACAAAGTGAGAAAGTCTCTACAACAAAGTTCATTCCTTTAACTTCACCTAAAAGTGCTTAGATAGTAGCAACCTCCATTTATCTATTCAAAGCAAAGATAAAGCTGACTGGATGATATCTAGGCAATTGGTCCTTTCTGTGGCTTCTAACACAATCTCTGGCTACCAGCCCTGTTAACAATAGGCCAGGAGGAAAAAAAGAATGAAAAAAGAAAACCAATTGTAAATGGTGTTAAATATTACATATCTGTTAAGAAACATGAATATAGACACATGCTGATAAATTTGTATCTCTCAAAACAATTTATTGTAGAAGAAATATTTTATCTGATCATTCTGTTAAAGATGGGATTAAACTTAGCCTCCAATAACAGACTTTTTTTAAAAAATGAGACTTTTTTTCCATAATGATATGCTCTTAAAATGGAAAATTTTATCTTTGAAGTAAATTGATAATTAAACAATTCCTTTGTAATAACTTTATAAAACTACTAACTGACCATAAAAAGCAAATGCCATTTCACAAGTGGTAAAATTAATTAAATAAGGCCACATTCAGTGTCCAAGGTAACTATATCAGAGTCTTAAATTTTAAAGATCATAAAGCTTATTGCTATTTCTTATTCCCTTCCTCTATGTCCTTCAAATCCCACTCGGATTTACTTGTTTCCAAGAATATTTAGAATTAAGCACATTTTTTACTTGTTTCCAAGAATATTTAGAATTAAGCACATATTTAGAATTAAGCACATGTTACTAATGAGTTTTATTACATAAATTTTTTGTTAAAGACTTGTAAATACTAAAAAAGAAATAAGTGTTTTGTTAAAGACCTGTTAACACTAAAAAAGAAATATCCTAGGTTCAATGATTAAATATACCCAGTGTTAATCTATTATCACCAGATGCCTGTTTTAGTTCTGTTAAAATAAAACTAGGATGGCCCTCCCTGGAGGCACAATGCGTTAGAGCACAGCACTGCAAGCTAGCTGCAGCTGCATCAGTGTGAGCTCGATCCCTGGCGGAGGAGATGATCCACATGGCGAGGCAGACCTCTCCTGCCCGCTGCTCCCCTCAGCAGTGTGCTTTCATGATCTACCTGTTCTGTTCCCCACTCTCACTACGGTGAATCCTCTCACTGCCCCTACCATCCCAGCTCTGTATGCATAAATAAAGAAATCTTTAAAATAAATACATAAAATAAAACTAGGATGCTATGTAAATTCAACTCCATTATTATAATTAGGAAAGGTTATGAAATCCTTAAGGTTTAATTGCTACCAAAAAAAGCAGCACTACTCTACATCTTCAATAGTTGGGTATTTCTCAGCAAATGTGCAGAATGAAGTTTGGTCAACAAAGCTCAACAGCGTTGCTACAGTAGTGCTTTACCATGAATTGTAGTAATAGAAACATATATCATTTACTAGACAAACAGAATAGACAACATTTGAAAGGAGATTTATGCTATTTATTTACTTAAGTTGACTGCTAAACACCATTGTCCAAAATGCCCCAGCTTAAAACAAAACCACCTTTTTTAATGCAAAAGCAAATTTAAAAACTAGCCGAAATTGCTGACTATATTATTTCTCTGTCAAATTCAGCGATATTAGCAAGCTCTAGAGAGCTGATAATGTACTGTACCACAGAAATATGTTCCATAATGGGTAGAGATATGTTCCAAATGGGATTTCTGCAATGTTCCCAAAACTTAGTTTAAAGCCAACTCTCAACAAGAGTTCCAAGAAATCTTACCTTTTATGATCACTTATACATACTATATATATGAAACACAAAGTAATAAACAAATATAATATGATAACCTGCCTTCATGTATATATTACTTGTGGACATTACATAAATTATATGTATTTGTGAAAGTTAAGAAATTTACTCCAGGAATACTAAAATAAATCAAACTACCTATAGAAATTAAAAATGAAATTAACAATTAAAATTTTGTCCCTATGGGAAACCCAAGGGGATTGCAACTGAGATGGAAAAATGCACAAAAATATGTAAAAATAAACTATTATAAAATTTAAAAAAAATTGTCCCTAATAATACTGGACATAAGGTGCATCCAAATAATAAATTAAAGACCTTAGTTTATATCAGTATTCTCTCTTGAATTTCTAATATCCTACTTTAAAGCTAAAATTGAAGCTACAATGAAGTAAATGACTAAATCTACTAATAGTAAAGCATTTCTAGCAGATGAACTATCTTCTCTATAAATAATTTGTAAATCATTAAATGTGATATTTACTATTGTGCCTCTTTAGCAGTTTCAATAATCACAGGACCACACAGTACCATTAAGAAAAATGAATGTCCATGCAGACAAATCTGAGAAAAATGACATGCACATTCCATTTCTCTTAAAGACTAAGATGTTTACTTGTCACTTTCACTAAACACAATTAAAATTCAAGAGAAGAGCAGTTTTTAGTTTCATGAATGTAGCAATTATGTAAAAAATTTTAAAATGCTTTTGATATGAACATAATTAAATGCTGTGTTTAGAATGCTTCCTCACACTATGAACAATTATGCTCACACCACTACACGACTAACAGCACAGCATGACAAGTCCTGAAACTTGTGATTATATTTCCTGTTAACTTATTGTTGAAGGAAATGTTTAATTTAAGGTTTCAAAAGCAAGCCCATAGAAATCAAGCAGGACTGGTGCGTGAGGATCTATATATCAGAGACAATGGTCTACTGGAAATGTGAGAACAGGTGAACTCAGCTTCCTTCTTTTTTCTTGAAATAATACAAACAAAAATAGCCCAACTTCTAAGTCACATAGAGAAAAACAAACACTGTGTGACTTCAGTCACAAGTGGTATATAGAGAAAAACACGAATGAAGCAAGTAAAACAAAAATAAGCTTTTAGATGATAAGAACAATTAGTAGTTACCAGATGGGATGCAGGCAACACGGGGAATAAATCCAGTATAGTTGTGTAATAAACGATAGATCTGAACTTTATGTGAAACTTGGTATAGTTTGTACAAGTGTTAGCTTTTAATGATACATTCCTGAAACTTACACAATGTTATAATGCAATGCTATTTCAATTAAAAAGGTTTTTTTTTAAATATTCCAACTTCTAAAAGAAACAAATTATATGAGAGTTACAGATAGTTTACCACAATAATTTGGGCATTCATTTTTCAATAATATTTGCCTTAACTTTGCAATAAAGCAGGACAGTTTCAAACTCATTATAAAAGTTAATAAGTTAGCAGGAGTTAATAATTTCACTACTATTCTTTTCTCCCTGATAAAGTTAGTAATAAAAGGTCTCAAGCAGGGAGAATTACTTTTTAATCATTAAAAAAAAAAACCCCTAGCAGGATTAATTTTTCTTTGTTAATTTAAGGGGGTTTATTATAAAAGAATTTTTAGAAGGTTGATGAGAGCTTTAACCCAAGTTTCTAGTTAAGCCCACATTTAAATAACTTAAATATGAAGTTTAAAAAAGAATTCTCTCAGGCTTAAATATAGCAATAAACTCAACCAGTCAAGTTCCTAATACCCATGTATTTAAGCTGGATTATAAGGTAACATTTAGGATAGAAACAAAAAACTGAACCTGTGAGTTCTAGAAGGCTAAAGTTTCAATGAAGGTAAAACAAATGAACTATTTAAAGACAGAAAACAAAAGGTTAAAGATATCTAAAAATGTTAACACCACTTAAAAAAAAAAAAAAAACTAGCAAACTCCTGACCAGAAAGACAGTTAACCTGTCTGTTTAAAAAAATTGATTGACCAAAATGAATAAATTATTTTTATTTAGATTTAATTGTACAGAAAAGTGTGCCAATTTTTAATTGGCATATACACACTAAATATTAACTATTGTTATCATCCAGAGATTCTTAGTCAACATCTGTTTGCAAGTGACTATCATTTAGTCTCATTACAACAAATCAGGAAGATGATGACTAACAAGTTACTGAAACTCTTTCATATTTGGTTTCTTCATGTTTATTTTAAGTGGCTTTGACTAGGACTAGAGTATCTCTACCATTTGTTCTAACTTGAGAGTCTAGGATCTTAAAAATAAAGTCAAGGGGTGTTTTTGGCATAATATGACTGGGTTGGTTTTTATTACTCTATATATTTTTCCCTTGAATAAACATTTAATATATTCTACATTCTAGAAAAAGTATCTTCCTTGTTTAATAAAAACAACAGAAAATGCTGAGGAGGCATAGGTAAAACTACAAAGGAGTCTCTCATATGTAAGGAGAGTAGGTTTTTCTGACGTTCATTCCTCCTTGTTTTTGCTGCACCTCCTTGGTGTCTAGAGCACATTCTGTGCTTTCTCAAGTCCCTGGTGTTTCCTCCAAGACACCAAAATCCTTCAAGCTTCAGTGTAACCTTTATTTACTCTGCAAAGTCCTTCCTGACGTGCTCAGGCCAAATCGTAAGCCTCCGTGTGTTCACAGCTCCTTGGAACACTTCCCTGTTGCATTGTCAATGCCACAGTCAATGTCTTTGTTCTACTCTGGGTATCTCCAGCATGGGCTCTCAGGATATAGGACAGGAACCAGGACTCCAACCCATCCTCATGGTACCTGGTTTATGTGCAAGAATTCAGTGCAGTACGGACTTTTTTGATATAAGAATTAGGTGAATGATCCATGTCTCTCAAGGACACAGGGTATGAGCCCTTATCTAAACTAACTTTGTTTTCATCTGTTTCACAATCTGAATGTGGCAAGTCCCTTGAAAAAAGTTTAAATTACTCACAGAGGTAGTTAGAAGAGAGTGGCTACTTCTAATGAATTGCTGCACATATAGAAATTCATTAGACTAGACATATTCATAGCAAAAACAATTATATAATAGCCATTTCTAAAACCAGCACATGCTTTAAAATGATAATTGGGATATTTAGGAACATATAAAAAATTTAAGTGCCATCAATTTATGGGAAGTAATCTTAATGCTAATTAAAAACTTTCTTCAAAAATCTTCAAAATTTTCTTCAAAAATAGCTACAGCAATTGCCTAACAGGCAGTCATATGATGTGCAGATTGACAACAGTGATGGTCATTTGGTGCAATTGTTATATGCGGCCACTGGGCTAGATACTTTATACTTAATACACCCTCTGTGGTAGATACTGTTGCTACTTCAATTTTACAGTTCAGAGAAATATAACATAAAAAGATTAAGTGTAATCAGTCCTGGGCCACTCACTTAGAGACAGAGCTGAAACTTGAGCCCAGGTCTGTGGTCCAGTCCATGCTCACAGTTCTCAGACTACATGCTGACAAGTTCTCAGACTACATGCTGACAAGTAATTTATTTCACAATTAAATTAGTAAAGAAAATAATCATTTATCTACTTTGGCTCCATTCATTAGACCTGTTTCAAAATAAGATTTCAAGCCTCCTGACTGGTAAGGAGCATCCAATGAGGCATATAAATGGACATTATAACCACTGAAAACAGTATTTCATTGGCAACAATGAAACATACATTCATTGTCTTTTTAAAAAAGTTGACAGCTACAAACTAAAGTAACTTCTTCTTTTGGTTTTCAAATAGCTACACAGAACTTGTAACACCCTTGTCCTATGTACAATACCACCAAGACCTTTGAGTTTGTAATATTATAATCTAAATACATAGTGTTTTTTACATGGAAAAAAAACACCTGTTTCTCTTATGTTTAATCATTTACATGTTATTTGGAGTGGAAGGCATGGTGGGGAGAAGCAATGTAGCAGAATCACTGAAGGATTGTCTTCAATGAACATCCTCATTGACTCTAATAATCTAAATCTACTAAGTCATTACACTATGCCAGAATGTGGGGTGGGAGGGTGGAAAGAGGATGTGTTGTACTGAGGTAAAGAACAGGTAAATGAAAACATTTTTCAGATGATTCCTGCATTTATATTCAGAGAATTATATCCCAGAATCACTACTTCAGAAAGTTAAGTGTCAAAAAAAAAAAAAATGTTGACAGTGAGGACAGCAGACTTTCTTCCAAAACTATATGAAATACACAAGATAAGCTAACAAGAACAGTTAACTCTAATAGTTATAATTTATGCATCATTTTGTGTTTCCCTATCTTTTTTTTCATTTTACCCCACTGTGTGTGCCACCCCCCACATCACCACCAATACTGTATCTGTAGCACTCTCCACTCAATGACCTTCAGAGGAAAACATGCAGGAAATAGGGTACTGGCAATTAAATCAACCAGTGGGCAAGAAGGCTGTGACTATGTCCAAAGGAGGTTGCTCTTTTAAATAAAGAGACAGTCAGTGAGCATCCTATAAATACTCTTACTACAAATAACAATGAAAATGGGTTTTGTTAATAGCCATTTGCCCAGCATCTCTAAGAAAACATCTGTATTTGTGGAATGAATTTCTGAGTAGCTATCAAGACTCATTCCCACCTTTACTAGAGCAGTGGAATGACTAGAAAAGACTCAGAAAGGCAGTGTTTTCAAGATTTTTAAAAATTTTCAAACTTCATTCTTCTTTTCACTGCTGTCTTTAAGACTAACCTAGGTACTCTGAATAGGCATCAAATCTGGAAAACAACTATTTTAGAAAGAATCTTAATAGCTTAGCTTTGGCAAATTTCATCTTTGCTGAGCTTTATCACCAGGACACCTTGCTTTTTTGACTTTCACAGGCAAGTCACAGTTATTCAATGCCCTATATAGAAACCAGGGATTGTACCGGGGAGAAATAGCTTCAGGCCACTTCAAAGTAATTAGCCTACTTCTCAGAGCCTGGGACCTAATGAAGATTACCAGCAGAGCATCTTGGACAAATTGTAGTATTAAGGGATTCCTGCAACTACTTCCTATTCTTCCTAGTAAGCTGGGGAAAGGGCAACTGGCTACAAAGCACAAGGTAATTTTTTCTTTTTAACACTGACCAGCTTTGTCCTGGGAGTCATCAAATTCCACGTTGAAAGAGTGACCATTGTTCAGGATCTTGCGTGAAACTGCTTGCTCGTAGCAAACACACAGAGGCTTCAAGGCAGAGTCATAGACAGCCGCTTTGGTGTTGATGTCAACGGGGGACTGTCGCTGTCCTTTGGCGATGGGGAAGTCCTTATGCCAGGTCTCAGGTCCTAGGTTTGAGAAGAGACATGTGAATCCCCTAATGTGGGAACGGACACCGCCATGCTGCTGGAAAAAGGCAATGATTGATTCGAGCCAAGCTGCTCGGTTCCAATTTGGGCAGCATCCTGAGTAACCTTGAGAAAACATTTATCCTGTGCCTCAGTTTCCACATTTGTATTTTGAAGTAATAACAACAGATTGTTGTGAGAATTAGAATAACACATACAAAATTGTTAGAACAAATGGTGAGTGCCATACAATTATTAGCTTATTTTTAAGGCTAGGTTTATTGAAATGCAACAAATGAAAATAGGCAGTCACTTCAGGATGGAGGTTAGGATTTGGGTTCTGCAAGCCCACTTAAGACATTCAAGCAGACCAGAATTCGTTCCTCAGGCCCCAGTGCTGCACGTTAAGGGCAGTCGCTGCTCCGGCTTCGGCCAACTACTTGGGAAGCCCCAGGCCCCCCCAAAGATGACCAAGATATGCCCAATACCTCTTTCACACAAGCAGGAGAACCCCAAGGTACCAGCATCATAAAATCCGATTCCTGGTGGCCCCCGAAGTAGAGAGGGGAAAGAAAAGTCCGAAATCAACGCAAAGGATTCAAGGCAACCCGCTAAAACGCCCTGGGACGGTTCTTGCTACCTGCTCTTAGCCACAGGTGGTGCTGAGAATGAAGCGGGGGAAGGAAGGGCTCCCTAAATTCCCTGCGCTCAACAATAAAAATTTTGCTACCACCCCTCCTGGTTCCCTCTAGCCAGGGCTAGGAAGGTCTGTGGCTCCGGGTCCCGTCGGAACTGTCGTCGGGTCGCGTGGCTGAGACTGCGCGCCCCCTCTCTGGGGCCCTGTGCGCTGCTGCCGGACGCGGGGATTCCTCGATAGTGGCCTCCGGGCGGGGGCGAAAAGGGCATCCCCGCTCCGGGAGGAACGAGAGGAGCAGACTCCCGGGGCGCACCTGAGCCTGGGGTGCTCGCGGTCGCGGCGGTAAACAGCAGGTGCGGGCGCTGGGGGGCCACGGTCGGGACCCTGCACCGGGCGCCGCAGCCGCACCAGCCGCCGGGGTCACTCACCGTTGTCCTTTCCGTATCCCCAGTGATGGGACATAGTCGCGCCGATGGTCTGGGCAGAGCGGGAGTTGGTGCCTGTCCAGTGACGGCTGTTTCGGAGCCTGTGCGGCGTGTCCGCGGGTCACGCCGCCACCGGCTTTTATAGGCTCCCGCCAACTTGCGCTCGGGGGCGGCCCGGAGGAGGGGGCCCAGCGTGGACTAGGGCGATAGGGGGGGAGGAGGTGGCGGGCGGAGGTTATCTCCCCGCTCTCTGGGCGGGCCGAGCTGGCGGAGCGCCGGGGGCGGGGAGAACGCCCTGTCGGCGGGCGCTCGGCTGGACTCGACTCCTCTGCTGCGCCCCGGCTCCCCTCAGTCCGCGGCCCGGGTCCCGGGTCCCCGGCAGGTAAACCTGACTCCGAGCTAGGCGCCGGTGGTGGTGGTGGTGGTGGTGGTGGCGGCGGCGGCACCCGGGCTCCTGGGTCGGACTGGGGCTGCTGAGCGTCTACGCGCACCCCATCCCCCTCCTGGGTGCGGAGTCTGGCGGCGGTGCTGACTGCTGGGGATCCGGGCCCCCAGTGCATTTCATCTTCGGCCCCCATTGTGATCGCATCCCTGGCCTCGGTGACCTCCACCCCACCCTAACGACCCAACCCGACCCAGGGTCTCCAGCTCCGAAGGCTCAGTCCGGGGCTTCCCGGGCCCAGGGCTGCAGCCCAGTTAGGAGCTATGACCTTGGGGCAAATAGGGATACAGTCCTTGAGGCGCTGGGGAGAGCAGCTTCGGGTGCTGAGAACCACGCGCCCCCTGCTGGCAGTTCGTGGAATAACGCGAGAAACAGGAGCGAGCCTGCGGCTGAAGTCCCCTCACTCGGAGCCAGTACAAGAGATTGCATTTCGATGCAAGCTGTCAGGGTATCATATGAAGTATTCAAATCCTCCTATTTTCCTTCTCCTCTTTAAAAATTAACTTTGGGGGAGGGCCTTCTAGCTTGGTACATGTTGATGTATTACAACCCAAACTTCTAAAAATTCCAGTAAAAGAAAGAATTTCTTGTAGAAAGATGAAAACTTTCCCTAGCAAAGGAAACTTGGTATCTGGAATACCTAAGATATAATTACAGAAAAGAAGAGATTTTGAGATGTTGGCAGTAGTGTGACTTTTGCCTTCTTCCATACACATGCATATTTACAACTACCTTGACATAAAGTTTAAGATCTCAACATTATATGCATATAAAGTGGAAGTTTTTGCTATGTTGATCTTTAAATCATTATTTACTGTTTGTTTCACCTAGTTTTTTTTTACAGGCAAATATGATTCATGTTGAGATTTACTTTTTCTAAGAAACTAGGAAAATGTGTACATCTGTATGGGATTTTTTGGTTGGTATCACAATGAATTTTTAGGCAAAAAAAAAAAAGCAGCAATGAGCTATTTTAAGTCGCTGTGCCCTTCAGAAAAGTGTAGTTCATAGTTAAGACGGGCTTTCTAAGGCTGCATAGTCTTTTGTTGAGCCCAGGGAAATAATTCTGATTCTTTGCATAATTTTCAAATATTTACTTAACTCAGAAAGAGAGTTAAGTTGCTATGAAAGAGTGTTCAGTTGCTATGAGATCCCTCACTAGGCCAAGGGGATAGAAAATTGTTAAGTGCTCAGAGTTGAGTACAAAGCCTCCGAAGGTAAAGTGGGCTTCAAATTCAGTTAAACCTGCTTGCTGGAATCCTCTCATTTTCTGTGACTTTGGGCTGTGGCTAGACCAGTACAGGAAATAATTGCATATTTTTATTATTAAATATCTCTAAAACTTCAAAGCCTACCAAACTGCAGTTCACTAAGTGGATTCTTATTCAAATCTCCCCTTTTTCTCTGGCTTCTAAAAAATGCATTGAATCTCAGTGGAGCAGGCCCTCCCCACAGAGCTGCTGTTGGGGAACTATCACATGCTCACTGCAGAGCAGGAAGTGAGTCACCTTTGGATACTCAGCAGAGATCCAAATTCCCATTAATTAATTAATTACAATTAATAAAAAACAATTTTTAACTGAGGTCATTTTGGGGTCTTCTACCAGATATTACCACCATAGGGCACCCGCCAGGAACTCACCCATATTCCACCACCCTAGTCCATTGTGCTTCCTTTTGTCTTTATTCTTTCTCCTGCCTTGCTCCAAATTTTTTTTTATTGGTCTTAGAATTTTTCTGTCCAATTTTTTGTTCATTTCGTTGTTTTTTGTGGTAGAGATGGTTTTATGTCTTCATCTAGCTCAACCAGAATTCTATTTTATTTTGCTGAGGCATTCTCAGCAAGCCTCAGGATTCAGTAGGGGGGGGGGATACTATTCTAATACTGGATTTTTAAAATTGATAATAGTGATTATCAAGCTACTATGGTTTTTTTTTAACATTAACTATTTTTTATAGTTTCTTTATTTGCATATTTTTTACATCAAATGTATTCCCCATAGAATTTCCACCACCAATTTACCCAGGCACCATCACCTCAGTCTCTTGTGCTCTTCCTGTCTGTGTTTTGTATCTTCTCCCTCCTCCCTTCTAGCAAAATGTCTCTGAATTGTAGCTGTCTGCTTATTTTGTTTAGTCTTGTTGTATTGATTTTGTTGTTGTTGTTGTATTGATGTTATTTTTCCCTGATCCCTTATTTGGTTCCCCTATATTCCCTATAAGTGAAACATCTGACATTTTTCTTTTTCCTTTTGACTTACTTCACTGAGCATAATCCCTTCTAACTCCAAATATATTGTGTGAATGGTATTAGCTTATCTTTTTATTGCTGAATAGTATTCCATTGTGTATATGTACCATATCTTCTTGATCCAGCCACCTATTTTTGGGCTTTTGGGTTGTTTATAACTTGTACTTTTTTCTGCCCCATGAGTTAAAAATAACAGTTGACTTATCAGGAAAATATAATATAAAAAATCTTGCAGTCTACATTATAATTATTATCATCAACAATACATTATAATTATCACAATTTTAAAAGGTTTGTAACATTAATCTTGTCAAAATATAAAATGAAACGAAAGTGTTCACTCTCAAAAAATATAAATGTCAATATATTTTATAAATTGTTATATGTGCTTTATTATTGGTTTATATGGTTTAACTAAAAAACTAATAAAATAGTAAGCCAGATAGTATCATATTTGTCACCATTACAGTACTAAAATAAATATAGAAATTAAGAATCATTCCCATCTCAGGGCTCCCATTGGTTTTTGCATACACATTCCTCTGATACTAAATACTAACTAGATATGTATCATACTCATCAAGCTGTAATCTGTCCCCTCCCCCCCATAAGCTGTTGCTGCTCTTTTATAACATAAGAATAATGGCTCCCACCTCACGGTTATTACAAAGATTCAATTAATAACTACATAATATAAATCACCTGCCACATGAAGCTATTTAGTAAATGATGCCTATTCAGCTTGTCCTAGAAAGCACTAAGCAGTGACAATGTAATATAATGAATGCAAAATTAAACACCCAAGCAAGGTCTAAGAGAACAGTTAAGAATGAGTCTCCAGCTGCCTGAAGTTTCTTTTTGGGAAGGGGGAGAGTATTTGGGTCATGGCCATGTCCACTCTAGTATATTTGCATATTTGTTTACCTTATTAAATTGAGACCTCTGAGATTGGCACTGTATCACATTACTCACCTCTGTATCTTAGGTTCCTATCTCCTCTATCTAGCCTGGTAGATATGGTAACAGGCATGGTAACTCCCTAAGTAATGTTCTTTGAAATTGTGAAGTCATAAACTCAAATGGAGTTAACAGCAGTTTCTCTTTATAGAAGTCAGTCCATTAGCAAATAACATTATGCTGAAATTAGACTTAGTTTTGAATCAGGGCTAGTTTACTAGCTCTATGACGTGGGGCAAATAACTTGGTCTTACAAATATACAGTTTCCTCCCCTGCAACACTAGAATAATAGTAATAACTGCAATGGTAAGGTCTGAAGGTTAAAATTTTATAAAGGACTTAACACAATGCCAAGAATAAGAACTTGATAAATGTTTGCTTTTCTTATTATGTTTTTTGAGTTCCTGTTGTGTGCTTAACTTTAGATACTGTGTAGGCTATAAAAGAAAGAGTCATCCATCCATTCATTCAACAAATCTGAATACTGTAAGGAACCACACATCAGCAAAGGTTATAGCCATAAGAGATCAACTCAGCCCTGCTGTCATGGAGCTTCTGTGGGGTTAGCTCGGAGTAGTATACAATAAAAGAATAAGCAACAGCATAAGTAAATTTCCAATAATGGTAATTAGCATGAAAAAAAATAAAATGGAATGAGACAGAGAATAATGAGGGAAAGTTGTCACTTTAGATGTCATGATGATAAAAGACTTAGTTAGGAAACATCATATAAGGAAACATAAAAAGAAAAATCTGGGAAGGGACATTTCAGGCAGAGAAAACAGTAAAAGGAAATTACTAGTAGACAATTATAGAACAGAAATCCTGTGAATGGACCATTCTGATTGAATAGGTTAAGTCAAAGGCAGGCAGCCTACAGAGCCTCGTACACCATGGTACCAGGAACAGAGTTTTTGCTAATTTACAGGGAAGTCACTAGAAGGTTGCAAAAAAAATCTAATAATACAAACTGCTACAATACTGGGTTTCAGAACTAAAAGGAGCTAGGAAACTATCTGGTCCTTATTTTATAGATGAGGAAACTGGTAGAATTTCATAGACTGATTCTTACTGGCCCTCCAATTTCTTGCCTTTGACTCTCTGACAATGACCTTTCACAAAAAGATCCAAACTCCTTTTCCCAACATATAAAATCACTTCTTACTGGCCCTTATTTTTCCTGTTGGCCTCCAACTCCTCTACCAGAGAATCTAGAGGCAGCATCACACTTTCACCCAGAGCCTGGGAATGGGCATTCAAGCTTAGACGTACTGACTACCTAACCTTGAATGGTTGACTTCACTTCCCCATGCCTCCGCTTAAGCAGCCAAAATTTAATAAAAGTACTCAGTGTTGGGCTCTCCCTGGTGGCATAATGGTTAAAACACTGCCTTATGAAGCTCTCTGAAGCCACTGCAGCAGTAGTTTGATCCCAGGCAGGGGAGCTGGCCCACATGGTGTGGCAGACTTCTCCTGACCTATCTGTTGCTCCCCTGAGCAGTATATTTCAATGGATCTGCCTGTTCTGTTCTCCATTCTGTCTCTGGTGAATCTTCTTACCCACCACACCTCTGTAAGCATAAATAAATAAATCTTTAAAAAAAAATGTACTGAATGTTGATGAGTGTTAAATGAACAGATTCATGTGCTCTAGCCATGTGAACTAGCAGAATGACTGGTGTATTGTCAACTGTTCCTGTAGACCTCCTGCTATTGTAGTAGAGAAGTAGG